GTTGTCCCAACTGTGGAAATTACGTTGAATACAACATTCCAGCAACGTTCAGGCAACGTTGGTTATCACGTTTGGAGGACAATGTTTCAAAGTAAGTTTTTAGTTGCGCTTAAACTTTGCAATTATTTTTAAGGAGGCTCCCTCTAGCTACCAAGCAGGGGACTGATGCCAATTTGCACGCGCATATTGTGCCCATGTAGAGTGGATTTTTTTACGTAAACGCATGGCCACAATGCCTTTATTGAAGATTTTTTTGTTTTCCTATGGTAATTTTTGTTAAAAGTTCGTGTGGATGTTAATTACATCAAACAATACGCAAAACAGAACAAAATATAACATACACAAAATAGAAAAAAATCTACAAATAAGTTTTCATGTAGCAGAAGTTTTCAAATTTGTCAAAAAATTATAAATAGAACTCCTTCAATGTTAATCATAATGCTTTTTGAACGAATAACAATCGTCACGCAAAAAATCAGAAAAATTCACCAAACCGAAAAAAGTTACGGTCATTTCCTTAAAAACTATACATGATAAAAGTGTATAAAAACGAAACATGGTTGCCATAACAACGCTAACAGTTATCCCATTTAAGCATCTTCAGATTTTCCTGGCATTCTTGAACATTCCCGCGTACTTCATATTTCCAAAGCTTGATCGTGTTTGTTTGAAATAATGTAGAAAGCGAATAGGCGACCTAGTTGTAAGGAGCCTCCTTAAAATAATAAATTAAAATTTAGAGCTACATAAATATATTCCAGTTTTACAGATAACTTTCTCTTGAAAAAATTAAAGACTACAAATAAGTAAATTACAAATTACAAATAAGTTCATTGATCCGTATCTTGAGGGAATCCTCACTCCAAGGTGTCAGTGCTGCGTCCCTAAGATAAAAATAATGTACAAGTAAAAAGTGTATAGTGGAAGCATTTTTAGTACGCAAACGTATTTTCTTGGTAACAAACATCTATAAAAACATAATCAATTGTCATAACACTTCGGCACGTAGGAAGCTGCGGCGTAAAACCATTTACTGTAAAACTTTTCATTACAAAACTTAAGATTATTAAATGTATGAATGTTGAGTACATCAAGCCACCAGGTTTACCAGGGCCATGCTTCACACAATTTGTGATCTTTTTACATCTACATATCTTGGTTACATTTTTGTGAGCCAGAAGACAAGTCTCTAGAAATAAACATTTGTGGAAAAAGTTAAAAAAACTGAGGATTATGTGAGCGAGATTTCAGTATATAATTAACTCAAGCTATGGTTTCTGCTCTTCTACTTTCTAACACAACGCATACAATGACAGTATAGTATAAAATGAAACTTTATATACCCAGAACAGAATAGCTATCTTCAACTAAACATTTTAGACAAATAAAAAGAAGACAAATATTTAGTAGCTACCTAAATATAAATAATCATCAAAAACGTAACATATCTGACATAAAAATTTATCCAGGCTAAAGTATTTGCTTTCTTTCTTTTGTCTTAAATTTTGAATAAAAGATGGACATTCTTTTCCAATTGTACTTCACTTTATACTTCATTTGACATTCGGACGTTAGTACAAATTAAGAATGAAGAAACTGTATATACTCAGACTCCGACAGATCAAAAGGTCTTTCAATGAATGTTTGGCTTTTCTTTCTTTAAAGGCTTAACTTGTTTCAAAATTTTTTCTTTATGCGCCGAGTTATAGTAGATACCACAGTGATGTCATAGAATATAAAATGAACAGAAGGCCAATTAGGGGTGCAAATTGTCCCAAGTTTTTTATGCGCTTACGTCAGATCCGCCATTACGCTGACAAGTACTGCATTTGCTTGCTACTATAAATTATAAAGTACAATGAAATATTTGTGTAAGAAAATTGTGCTTTTAAACGTTTCCTTTCATTGATCGTGATAATCTTGCTCAGTAATTAAATTTTAAAAGGTTTTGACCTTATAAGTACAATTTTGATGCGATCTAAAGTGATTTAACAACAAAATAAATAATTTGGCAGTATTTACATTGCGTTTTGATGTTCTCATAACTAGAACGCAGATTTCAAAAGTAAACCTCCATAATGTGTAAGTTAATGTTCTCGCACAGTACAAATATATAGAAATTCCTTAGCCAGTATTTGCCAGAGTAATGGCGGCCGTCGAATTTCTAGCATGTGCAATGAGACATGCGCGAGGACATTTACTTCAAAGGCTCCGACATTAAGTTGGCTTTAAGAGACGTCGTATATTTGGCCACCTGCATACTCTCACTTTGCATCAATGTGTCCAATTGTGTGAAAACAGATCTTTGAAAGTCTAAAACAGAATGTATACGTATGAAAAAATCTCCTCCAGTAATGGACGGTGGCATGTATTAAAGTATTACACCTTACAGAAGTTTTGTGAATACATAGTACTTACATAAGTGCAATGAACACATCGTAACTATTACGAACAGGTTGTATCAAAAAAGTTATAAAATTTAAGTATAAAGTATATGGTTTGAACCAGCGAGTATCGTTACATGTTTGTAAATGTAGATCGTCCAGGTTGGTATAGTCCTGAGAAGGACTATTTTTGTTGTTGTTGTTGAGTCAATCAATCTAGTCAACAACAACCAAAAACAATACTTCTCAGGACTAAACCAACCTGGACGATCTACATTTACAAACAATTTAAAAATGTTCAGATAACTGTCATTTCATGAAAATTTCTAAAATTGTGTTTCGTTTTATTATAGCGACGTGTCATTAGTGACACTCAAGAAAGATATTGATTGATTGAAGGGCTTCGTATCAGTCACGCAAAATTTAAGACAATTTAATAAACATTAAGTTCACCACGCAAATTGTTGAAAAAGATCATTTTTGCCTCTCTCTCCATTCTCATGTCGCTATTTTTTGTCTCTCTCTTCATTCTCATGTAGCTAACTTTTTCTTATTAAGACTGATTACTTGCATGAATGATTGTTTGAATGACGCAATTAACAATGAAGATTCATTTGAATAAACAAGATGATTGGCGAGATTAAAGAAAGGAAAAATATTTCCAATTTAGAGACGTTGCTTATAGTGAACTAATTGTTTATAAATTTACTCAAATTTTAGTGTAAGGCACAACAGAATTCAAGCTTTTGCCTCATTGAATTAAGTAAGATTTCAAACATTTTATTTTCTTTGCGCAAGCAGTCAAATGGGAGGCATTTACAAAGTACTTTCACAGTTTTCAAGATTAAATTTTTTGCTTGTTTTTAGCTACTTTTTGAGAAAAAGACCACGTAAAAATACTAAATTTAATATGGTAAAACATTTTTGCGAACTTTTGATGAAATGATAGTTTTCTGAACATTTTAAAATTATCTAACTTCTGTGATACATCTTATATACGTATATATAAGGATTTTAATTAATGAGGATTCAAATAACAGCGAAATATAGTAAATACATCGTTCATTCTGAGAAGATCAACCCATATAAAAGTTGTGTAACTAGCAACATGTTGTCTCACATTAGTTTACTGAATTGAGAATACGTAGCTGTATCGTTCTTCAAGGTGTGTAAAAACACCTTGAACAGTTAGGTAAACATTGCAAAAGTGATCAGTGCACAAATTCAGCAAAAAACTATGGTGAAATAGGTAGTTGGACTTCCAATGATTCATCGGACACTAAAATAATTTTTAGAGCGAGAATGATGATGCTGAGAAGCATTTTAATTTAAGCTAGCTTTCGCACAAAAACGACAAAGCTATTTAAACAACTATATTGGCACACGTAAGTTAAAATACGGCCCATGTTTTTCCAGCTTGGGAGAAAGGTTTAGCCATTAACACAAAGCTTACACGAAAATTGGGAGTCAAAAGAGTGAATTATTTTGCGTTATCGAGAAGCACGAGCACGTTGTTTACGTTACCAAGAAGCACAAAGAATTAAAAACCCCATGATGTTAAAGCTACAAGCATTTGCGAAATTAGACAAATATATAAAACTTTGTTAGCTTCAAAAAAATTTGACATACTTTAACCCAATGTGTTCTAATTGCTTTTTAGCTGTGTCATTTTTGTGCACAATTATTTTAATCCAATTAATAAAAATAGCTTTTACATTAAAATAAAGAATCGGATAAGAAACGAAAATATATACTAAGTAGTTCCGAAAAAAGGTACCGTAAAAGTAATATAGTTTGTTGTAGCTTAAATATGTAAAACAATAGCAAAAGTAACTATAACAATATTACAGCATTAAAAATAAAAACTTACAATTGTTCAGTTGAAAGTTCAGTAATAAAGCACACTTTAGATGGTGATTCGTTTTTACTAATCCAGAATATCAATTCTGTGATCAAAATTGGAGCATTTGTAGCTACCTTCAGCAGGTCGACGCAGGATAACAAACATATTGTTAAGTGAACAATTCTTTTTCAAGCATGCGATGACTTAGGCAACATAAAACAACAAGAAACTTTAAAATCAACCCACAAATAAGAACAATAACGTTTAATACCAATATTAAAATCAATTGCATAAAGAACTCTGGCGTCCATTTCTAATGCAGATATTGAGAAAACGCTTGTCCACTCTTAGACAGATATTGTACAGTATTTTATGACATAGTTTCTTATTCATGAATGCATATTTAATTAGTGCAACTTTCAATAGAGCCATTTTTAAAAACTTAACTCTTTCTCTACAGAAATTTGTCTTTAGCTAAAATTGAAAGCATTTTTTCACATTATACTAAATAAATTGCAATTTTGTTTCTATACATTTTTTGTACATTTTGTGTTGTAAAGAATACCATCTAGCTAATATTAATATATTTTATTGAAATAGCAGTTACGATAAGTTATATATCAAATAATTGAACATGGAGCTTGTTTGTTCAATAACATTACACAATGGCAAAAATACAACAATTCTACAGCCCTAAATCACATTTATCCCTACAATATTATAGATTTAGTTGTACGTAAAGAATCGAGTCTGAAAAGTCTTTATATAGTAAATTAGAACGAACTTGAAGTATTACTCAATTGTTTTAATATTTTTCTCGCCTCGGAGCGAAGGTTTTTATTACGCCAAAATATCAATAAACAGTTAGTTGTGCTGTTGATACACCAAAATGTTTTCGCCATGTATAGCTGAGAGCCCAATCTGTGTTTTTTAAGTGCCCAAACGATATAACTGATGATCGTTGGCATAAAGCAAATCGAGACACAAGCTACCAGAAGAAGACATGTTGATATGGATTTTATAAAAGACTTTCCTTTTTTTGAAAGCTGACTGTGACTTTCGGATGTTGTGACGTTCTTTCGACGATATTTCTTTGAGATAATGTGGAGCTTAGTGTTGACGTAGATAAATGGGAACATAAACAGTAAACAAAAAAGTATTGTCGAGGCCAAGAAATGTTCTGTTATATGTATCAGAAACATCATAGTGGAAATAAAAAGAAAAACAAAATGCAATTTAATGAGCAATGACTTCGTTACTTTTGTGTGGTGAAATATTGGATGGAAAACTGCCAAGTATCGCTCAAAACTAACAAGCAACAGGGTATTTAACGAAAAAGCAAGAAATACATCGAAAAAGTGAGTAACAGTGCGCAGTTTGAAAATTGATTCCTTTTCACCAATCCAGAATATCAATTCTGTGATCAAAACTGGAGAGTTTATAGCAACCGCCAGCAGGTCGACGCAGGATAACAAACAAATTGTGAAGTGACAAACTTTCTTTTGTAGTTGCGATGACTTTAACCAACAAAAAACCACAAGAGAGTTTAAAATCATTCCACAAATAAAAGCGATCCCATTGATCGCCAGCATTAAAATTAATTGTACTGAGACTCTGATGTCCATTTCTTAATGTCCGATGTCAGGAAAGATAAACGATTACTCTCGAGATCCCATTGATCTCGAGATCCCAAGCGATCCCATTGATCGCCAGCATTAAAATTAATTGTACTAAGACTCTGATGTCCATTTCTTATGTCAGATGTCAGGAAAGATAAACGATTAAATAATGCCGTGTATTAAATGACACTATTTATTCATGAATACAATCGTTGCAAAAATTTACATAGTCAAGCAGACAGATGGGAAAAACTTACTTCATCGAGGGACAATTCCACTATGCCTTCAATTTATGCTTCATAACGTAGTAATAATGTTTTAACATGTCGGCAGTGCAAAAATATCTTGTATGTTGTTCCCGACATCGTTTTGTTTAGCATTTTGATAATCCGTAAATTTTGTGCAAAATGGCGTCGAAAAATGAATACCCCGTAATTAAATAACAAATAATCAAAAATGCAAATACTAAATCTTATCGCTTGCTTTTGAGAAGGAAGAAAACAAATACAAAATTACAACAAACGTTATAAACGCATGATTCCCAGGATGGTAGTAAAGACGTTGGGCATCTTGTCCCACAAACGGTAGCCAAAAAGCAGCTGCTAATTGTAAGAAGCACGGACCAACGATTGTCTTGTATCAACGGCGGAAACAAGTCCTACAATACAGTAATCAGCGAAGTAGTCCGTAGTAATCGTCTTGCACTGGCCACAGAAGCACTTGGACCACTTTGGTTTATTAAATGATCTTTACAATGAGATTGGAAATTCATTTGGTAGGAAATTAGTGGAAATAGTCCATCTTCAAAAGCATGAAAATGTAAGACATGACTATTCTTTCCAAAATGGTGTTCAAAATAATCCAATTGAAAAGTTCAAAGTATCAATGCTTACCCAACGATATTTGAAGCAGGATCAAATTGGAAATCTAACTAGTCATCTGTATCACTGCCAAATATGTCAAATTCGTGTACGTCATCCTTGTTTTGTATAATGTTTGTCCATGCACTACAATTGCAGATGTCAGTACATTTAAGTCCATTTGCCATATATGTACATATTGTTTTGACATCGTGACTTCTTGCAACCACTGGCTAAGAATTCGAGTATGGAGTCCGGTGCTGTTTTCTGGCTCATTTAGTGACTTATAACTTCCCATTCACAAACATCCATCCACGGCCTTCTGGCGTTGGGACAAATCATTACATGATAATGGTGATTTCCAGATACAAGTCACGTAATTTGCTCGTTTACAATGCAATAGCAATTCATCTTTTGTTGGTGGAGGTTTATGCGATTCTGGGATCTTACTCTTGGTGCAGAATTTTGTGTAGCGCACTTCGTTTACAATCTGACAAGATTTAACATCATATAGTTCAGCAACGGTTTCTTGAACTGTCCGAAAAAGCTTTTCATCAAAGTCGAAAACATCACCAATTTTCTTTCAAGCTTTTTGACATCGATCTGAGCCCTTGACAATTTTGTAAGCCTTTTGTTTCCCAACTGCAAAGAACGCACTGTTGAATCACAACCAGTAACTGCATGAAGAGCTGGCAAAGCGTTAGACATTGCTTTACCAAGACTTTCGTAAATTTTTGAAATAGAATAGATTCTCTTCCTTCCTTTTAATCCTATCTTGACATATAAGTTACAGCAAATTCGCTCTTTGTAGTAGACAGCCAAAATTGCAACATCGCCGTCCACAGTTGAGATGCATATACTAGGATTTATTTTGGTTTGGATAGCATGCAGGCAACAAAAAAAAATTTAGTGTCTGCTTCTTCTCAGCTGGAGCACAGGCTAATTTCTTTTCTTGACACTACTTTGTTATTTGCTACTTTTAGTTGATAACATTCACTTTCAACGGTTACAAATGCAGTTCGTTCTGAGATGGTGGCTTTGAAGCGCTAGGGATCCGACCAATCTTGTAGAAAAAATTTCACAAGATCAACTTTGTTATTGACATCAATTAGGTATTTTTTTAATTGCTTGGGTCGTTTCTGGTCCCTTCTTGACAGCTGAATTCGAATGATTTCAGAATTTTCACGTCGTTTGCGTTCACTGCCTTTTAACGATTAGTCAAAATTTTGGTCGGTGACAAAATACATGATTTAGTTATAATTATAGGTAATGTGTTTTAAGACATATTCGGACATTTCGAAAAATATTGTTAAACTTATGGAGGCCAGCTGCTGAATGATGATCATACCATCAAATATTCTTACACAATCAACTGGAAGGGAATCTACCATGGGATCTTCTACATCTTTCTCAACACTGTCCAGCAGCTTAGATTTAACAGGTTTTACATAACCTCTATCAGCAGTGGCTAAAGACCAAGGAAAAGGACCAAGAGAATAGGTGGTCATTTCTCTCAACGAAACATTGCGCTTGCCGCATATGACTAGTGATCAGGCAAATAAATCACGATCCGCTTTTAATGTTAAGCTTTTATCTTTAATGACGCATGATTTTTTAATTTTCATCGCTGCAAACGTCTTTGGCTTCATTTTTGAATTGGTGCAAACAGATCTTCGTCGTTTGATTCAACTCGTTTCGCCAAGAATTTGCGAAGTGCTTCTTTCCCTTTTTCGTCTGCAATAATCATGTCGTTCTTAACATCATCGCTGCATTGTAATCCAGAACTCAGATGTACGAGGGAAGTAATTTCTTTAAACGGTGTCCCCCAATCCATAAAAAGATCATATCAGCAAAGAACGCAATTTTCGTCGTGCAACATTTGCTTTCATTCAAGATCTTTTGTCACAGATTTAGCCTAGTACATTCCTATGAACTCCTCCATCCTTGTTTGACACTTTGCAGCAGAATGACTGGTTAGTACCCATCTTTGAACTGTTCCTATTAATGTACTATAGCCAACAATTACACCTGCATATGTTTTCTATTTGTTGATTGTTTTCTTTATAGCTTTATCTGATGGTATCTTGTTGAATATTCCTGGTTGTCTTCTCACAGAACAATAACCTGCTTCAAAGTTTTGGTGTATAGAAGGATGTGTTTTTAAGGGCTTTTTCATGGTTACTGGGTAGTATGTCAGAAAGCGTGCGTAGTTGGGACGATATTAGCCAAACATACAGGGGAGCATGTTTTCTGTCAATCACAGATACAATTTCCAGTTCCTGAGCTGCATTGATCTTGAAAAATCGAATAATATCTGCACCATATTAAAAAATGACGACCATACGGATGCTGTTAGACCAAGAGAATCATTTAAGACAGAATCTTCATTATTTTGTAACTCGTCGAGCAGATTTGCGTGATGTCGGCTAAGGTTTTTTATGAGTTGTTTTGTTGGAGAAGAAAAGGAATTTTTCTAACTCAACTGAGTTGACTAATCTTTCATAAAGCTCATTCGCCTGCTCTGTTTGGTCATTTTTCGCTTGTTTAAAACTATCAATCATATGTCTTTTGAAAGCCTCGTGCAGGTATTTTATGTCTCCCATTGCGTTGTTATAATGCTTTCCTTTAAGCATTTGGTCAACGGAAGATTCCTCAAGAAGATTTGCCTCGATTACGATGTCGCAAAGCCCAGCATCAGCAAACCTCTTTCCGATAACAGCAAGAAATATACACATTATACGAAACGCGACAAGCCGCAAAACAACGAACTGCTTAAGATCAATGTACCTTGGATTCATCATAACTTCCACAGCCTTAGCGTATATTTCCATATCTAGCACCATATCTGTTTCGATTAAACCAAGTTTTTCTGCCTTCACCTTTGATTGATTGAGGAGTTCCAGAAGAGTATCATGGGACGTTGGAGATTTGTTAATCGACCGCAGGTATCCAATTTTATGGTGCTGTTGCTGTTGTTGTCGCACAACAAATAATTAAAACCTGTCCAACTAGGTATCTGCTGCTCGAAATTTGTTTGATTGACTTGAGTTCTGGCGATGATCCAAAGCGTATCAAAAACGAATGAAAGTTATACTTCGTCTTTGTGCATGCATCGCTGAATGCAAGTTGTGGCTTCTTTGTTTTTTGCTTCACCTGAGCGTACGAAGGTATCTCTGTTAGAAGATTTTGGAGCTTTTTTGCTTTTTGTTTCATGCATGACTGTGGAGACACTAAGGCGTCTAAAGAAGAGGGCTGGGGCTCATTTATTACAACATCTGACGGCTGGATGACATTGCCATTCGTACAGTGCAAACTAAACCCTTTGAGACATTCGTCATTGATGTCATCGTTATCCCAAACAAAATTGACGAGCTTAGATGGCTTGATAATGGCTAGAGAGAAGGATCTGGGAACTTGGTCTTTTGAATGTTACATTGCCAGAGAAGTTTCAAGAATAAGCACATCATCATAAGACATCCCGTGGCCAAAACTTTTGTATCCAGCTGATAACTATTTTGGAGCCAGTCTTTCTTTTGATGCAGAAAGGAAAGGTTATATGCTTTAATGTTTTTTCCAACCATTGTTGGCGTGGTAGATCAGATCGAAGACACTAGACGCATCACCTTTGCGGATTTTGTTGATTTATTAGTGAGGACTTCTTCCAAAAAACATGTTGTCAACATTGCAATTTCTGTTTATTTGGACAGAAGCTCGTGCTCTAGTGGTGGTCAACTTCTAATAGTATTGGGAATTTCCAATAATTCTTTACATATTTCATGGGCAACTTGCATCGTTTTCTTCTCCAGCGATTAGTAGTTCCATTGATAGTTCAATAACTTTGCCATATTAGCTGCTTCAACTAACTGCCTCTTTTCAACATTGTTATTAAACAATTACTCACTGCCGTACTTTGAACTTCAAATCCCAACTTTTAAACCAAATGATTTCGGGATCTTTACTTTAACACTTTGTACTTTTGGTGAGATAAGCTTTTGTTCAGCACCAACTAAACGTTCTGCAAATTCTAAATATTTTTTAGTTAAATCAACCATCCGCAGAACCTCAAACTCAAGGAAATCCTCTCTTCAATGACTGCAGATAGCTCCTGAAAAACGGTTTCAGCATTGCTTGAAGCCACTGGTTTTG